ATATTGTACTTATCCCCAAAATTTACTATTGTCCCAATATAGTAATTCTGCCGATCTTATCCGGATCATCAATTAAAATAATTAGTTTTATTTTGATTAAAGTTATTTTTTCAATTCCGCAAAGCAATTCAAATCAATCACTTCGGGACATTTGTAAAATTAAAATATATATTTAGAATATTTTGAAATATTTTAAAAATAAATTTGGCAAAAAAATTGGCAGAATTAGGATTAATTTAAGTGAATTTGAGTATAATTTTGGGAAAATTAATTTGGGCAGAATTCGATTATAAATTTTTGCAGAATTAGTGAGTTTAATATGCATAATACATACATCCAATATGAAAAAAACAATAGTTTTTTAATAATTCTAAGTTTAAATTTTGAAGTTTTTTTTTAATCTGATTTTTTTGTTGTAATTTAATTGTACTGTATCTTGTGTCCAGGTTTCTTTCTGTTTTAGTATTCTCATAGTTGATTTCTTTTTTCATTGTAATGTTACCAATCAACACAGCATCTATACAGTATATGATTTATCTCCCTTATCAAAGTTGACATGATTAATAATTCTTGTCAGCATTTTAGTTATTGTGCTTCAAGAAATTGATTAGATTGGAAAAATGAAATATCAATTGCTGTGCTGATAAGATAAATCATATTGATGTTATGTGAGTAGACATCTCGATCTATGGGAAGAGACACAGAAAAAATGGCAACTTAAAAATATCGATTTACATTGTGACCAGAATTGTAATAGTTCTGATTACAGTGCGATTTACATTATAACCAGAATTATTATAATCCTGGTCACAATACAAATCTATATCGCAGGTCTCTTTCCATATATATGTGATACTATTGCTTTTAAGATGCAGTAACTAACTTTTTGATGCATCTAAACGCACTCTAAAATTACTTTACTTTTTTACACCAATATCACGTGATTAATTATATTACTGCCAAAATACAGTACTTAGATTCATAAATTATTTTTATGTTTATTTTACGAAAACTTCGTATGCAATAACTGCTGTATTTTATGGACGATGATGATTGGTTGGTAATCCAGCTGTACCGGCTGGGTTACCGAACGATCAGAAGAGAACATAAAATACAGCAGTTAGTGCTTACGGAGCATACAATAGTGGTTTTATTTTATGATTTACTATCTCAGATTTATGAAATAGTTCAATTATTTTATCATTTAAAAATACCATAAAACTACTTATTTTCTTTATGATTGCTCATCGTCGTAAAAAAATAAATAAATCCATTATTGCAATGCTACGCATGCAATAAGTGCTGTATCAGAAGTATAAGATCTTAATTTGTGTTTTTGGAACCCTTTCGGAGTTCCAAAGTGCACATTAAGATTTTAGACTTCTGATACTTGTCGTATTTTATGTTTTATCCTAATTGTCCAAAAATCTGGCCGTACCGGCCGGATCATTGATCAATCAAGATCATCCATAAAATACTCCACTTATTGCATGCGAAGCATGCAATAATTTTAATATCGCTTATACTTAGTATACATATATGCTATATCGGCAATAAGCGATATAAGCATTGTTCTATCTTCATGTTTCCCGGGGATTATTTTATTCTGTGCATCAAGAATCACACTTCTAATCTAACAATGTATATTGCGAGGGGTTTACTGTGAAGGAGTATTTTATGACGATTCATAGTAATTCTATCATTTTATTTACAATTTTTTTAAAAATAATTGATATCTCTATGGATGTTATTTTGAGATAAATAAAAAATTTAAGTATTTCTTGTATAAAAAGTAAGCAAACAAAAAATACCTCGGAACTAGATTTAGTACTAAGTAAACCTTTCTTTGAGCTTAACAAAAGTTGTTTTTCAGAACAACTTTTGTTAAGTTTAAAGGAAGGTTTACTTAGTACTAAATTTAGTTCTGAAGCATTTTTTTAAATCTTACTATAAATAAACATCTCATAATATGAATGCGCGCTAGTTTGGGATAGCGCATGGGAGTTATTTTGAGACAATATAAATAATTTTTAGGGGGCACCATTTTTGAAATAACGCTCATGAGCGTTATTACGCGAAAATACGGTATTCAGTATTCCTCTAAAATAATTTACAAGTTCTCGTATCTGGTGAAATATCGTAAAAATTATAAAGGTGCTTCTCTCTTTTGTGAGAGAAATGTAATGTAAACCACTGAATCAAATTGGTCTGGCATAATTAGCAACTCAACTAGAATCTCTAGACTAAATTTTAACTTGAAGTTAATTCTGTCATAGTAGATTTGCTGCTTTAAAAATAGTTTCATTTCCCTTCCCGAGAGTTTTAAAAGTGATGTTAACTGAAAAATTAATTTACTGTATTAAATTAACAATTGCTATAGTCGATCTTTTGAATTTTATTTATTTATTCATAAATTTGTCATTTTGCAAAATCATAACTTTAAGTTATTAATATTGTAAATTAAAAAAAAACAAACTAATTGAAGAAAAGGACCAAATGAAATTAATGATTTATTATTTAATTTTTATTCACTACTACTGCCATTACAACAAAGAATCATAAAATCATAAATAATTTAATAGATCCTTTTTCAATAAAAACTGATACAAGCAACAAATGGTTTCGTTCTCCCGATGCTATTATTATCATCAGAATCCAATCTTTTACTGTCACTTTTTTTTTTTTTGAATCATTTCTTTTATCTGTTCCCTATTTCCAAATCAAATTCATTACAACTAACGTGCAGTGAGTCTTTGAACTTTCCGTCAGACTTGATGAAAAGTTCAATATTATCCTTTTTGATTTTGGTAATAGGATGTCAAATAAGTGTTCCTAAAAAAATAAAATCAATTCTTTATATCAACAAAAGTGAAGATATTGGTAAAGCATGATCATATGTTGGTCTTATAGGACCCCAAAGTTACTAAACTATTAATAATGTTATGTAACACATTAGTATTTTACTAACTTCATGTGCTTCTAATAAAAGTTATATATCAAGTTATAAAAGATCTTTGCTAGGTAAAATATAAATTTTTAGTTCTAAGCTTATGAGTTATATAGATATAAGCTTAATTTTTTTTATTTTGTACTTTTAATAAGTCTATTAGAAAAATGGGCGGTATCATAGCTATAAATCTTTGATTATTGATTCCATACTAAAAATTTATTTGACTTGAAATTTTTTTAAATAACTCAGGAAGTAATTATGTTATCCGTAAATTATTAGTTAAAATAAACCGTACTCTAAAACTATAGTTATCCCGGGAATAAATAATTGTCCAGAGTTCTTTAGTTTCTTTATTTTTTTTATTAGCTTAAAAGAGATTTGCACTAATTCGCAAAGAGTATGAATGAATAAGACTCTTGAAAATTGATAATCATTTTCATTATTTGAAATTTTTTTCTAAATAGCTTTAATCTGACTTTCGATATCATCTTCCTCCTCAATTTCCATAGGCACTGGTAAAGAACATGAAAATTCAATCCACTTTTCAAATACTTCCCTAAAAATTTTAATATTTGGTATATTACTTTGAATAATTATTGGTTCTGGATCTCCATTAATTTGGACATTGGTGCTAGATTTTCAAATCTTATTAATATTAAATATAATCTTGTTAATATATTCATATTATAAATTCTTACCTGATTAAGCTTTTAGTAAATAAATAAATATATTTTAGATAATGACCATCATTATGTTCGTATTATATACTGATTATAATAAAAATATACTAATATTTAGCTTTAGGCATAGTATTATATTAATATATATAAAAGTATAAAACTTATATGCCTAAACTAAGCTATATTAGTATAGTATTACTATAAGCAGATATAATATATATAAATTAAACAAATCCCTTAATAAAACTTGGCATACTTGTAAAGATTGACTATCTTCATCTAAAGTATTATCTTTATCAATTTCATCAATTAAATCTTCAACTTGATTTACTGAGTGGAGAGAGGTTGAACTTTGAGAAATTGAACTATTGAGTTGTATGAATGACTCCTTTGTAATATGATAACTTTAATTACAACCTTGAAATTTATTTTCAAATCTGTCAAAACTTGATTATGAATGCGTACTTTATTTGTATCCAATTGGGTTACTGGCATATCCTCTGTTTCATCTATTTGCTTTTTAAAAATAACAAAGTATATAATATAGACCAGTGAAATTTTGTTATCATAGTAGAGTTTACCTGTCTATTATTAAAGAGTTCATCCTCTTCTATAACAACAACATGAATATTTTCAATAAAATCATCGATAGAACTATCATTATTTGAAGTTGATTTTTCTGTAATTTTTACATATTCTCTTATAAGTAAAAAAAAAATTTAAATTATATACATAAATTAACCAAAACAATAATACCTAAAGAATCTGATGAAGTCTCACATTTTTTATTGCTATTCGTTTGTCTTTTTTTTTGAAATTTTCCTTATAATTTGACTGTCTCAGTTGTGTCTTATATTTTTTAACACTTTTTGATTTCAATCTTTTGTTTTTTTTTGCACTTTTATTATCAATTTCATCTGAACTTAAATATTCAATTCGTATTTTACATTTCAATTCCCACTTTTAAAACTCTCGGGAAGGGAAATGAAACTATTTTTA